AGTAAAATTTAAAGTTAATAATTAATCATTTGAATGTTATTATTAGAGTAATAAAATTTATGAAGAAAAGAAGGAGAGAGAGAGAGAGAAAGAGAGTGTAAAGAAATAAATGTAAATTGTTAAAATAATTATGTACTACAAACAAAAATATAATAATATAAATTAAATTAGATAATAGTAAAGTGTCAAGTATGATCGACACTCGACGACGGATTTTGATGATTAATAATACTTCTGTATAAATTTTAAGCATATCTTTTAGTTATATAAACTGCACGTCGATTACTGTCAAATTTGAAACATAATCACAAATTGAAATCAAAATAGCATCTAATATCATAAAAGTTAAATTAGTTATTAATTTAATATAACGGGCGCGCAGTTTATGTAACTGCGAAGAATATCTATATAGAAATATTATTAAACTTATTAAGATCCAGGCTTGATCGTATTTTGTGCTTAGTTAAATAAAATAATAAATAAATTTTTATTTATCTCAGTTAATTTTGTTGTGTTTTGTGAACATACTTTAAACGAAAAGATGCTCATTACAGCAAATACGAAAGCGTTGTTGTAAAATTGGCTAATTTGCTGTATATTATTAAACATTTATAATTGTGTCGATTTTGCATTTTCATTTATGTCGCAACTTATGTCACTACTCATATTTTTTTACACATTTCTTTTTGCTTATACATCAAATTCCGCAGACGGAATCCAATTTCATAAGTACGAAATTTAGAGCACTTGCTATTGCATGAAAAAAATGTACATGTCAATATAGAATTTTTTATCTATTTTATGTTATAAAATATGATCTTTTAATTAATTTATTTACTTAATTTTTTGTTATTTTATAATAGGAGCAAAAAATTCATATTGGAAAAAAAGAAGCTACTTAAAATTGTACAATTTTGTGATATGCATCAAAACCAATGTTAAAAATAAATAGATATAACATAGCTCTAATATTTATAATGTTGTAGAAAAAATGAAATATCTATTTTATGTCTTTGCGATGATTAATTAAATGTTGCAAATATTTTAACTGATATTAATTTTTTTTATCATACTTTTAATTTATAGTCGTCGAAATTATTCATGAATAAAATTGTAAAATAAAGTAAAGAAGTACACAAATAATTCTTTTTTATAGTCCGTTTATTTTAGAATAATATTGAATACAGAGAAATCCGGAATTTATATTACAGAAAACTTGCTTTTCAAATGAAACATGTACAGAAAATGAGAAGAAATGTTAACATTAATAAATGTTCATTATTTATTACACATCAAATAAATATCTTATTATCTACATTACTAATTAAATGAAACTTAATAAATTATATTAATGAATAATAGAGCTTAATAAATTAACTGAAATGAAACTTAATAAATTAACAATAAATAACAAATTTATATGATATTTTTTCTTCTTATTAGATATAAGTTTAATATAGTTAAATATTGCCAGTTACTATTCAAACCAGTAATAGAATGATGCGCGTGCCTTTAATATTATATATTCCAGATCTAGAATTATATCTTTAATTTATTTATCCTAAATTTTGTATTAATTTTGGAATAAATATATTTTTTTTTAAATATTATATTTAGTGATAATATAGTATTAATTTTTTTAATATTAAATGATGTGTGACTTAATTATATCTTTATGTGTTTTTAAAACTGTTTTTCTCAATTAACTTGGAATTTAAAAATTAATAATAAATTTCGCTCGTTTTTTGCAATGCAAACTAAATAATTAAACGGTCTAAAACAGCTAAATGAATTTAATAATAATAATTATTATTGTTGTTAAATTTTACAATATAAAAAAACTAATTAACAAAAAAATGTCGTATGTTTCGGAACTTACAGGTTCTTTTTCAGCGATTTTTATAGATGCTTGCGTCGTTGGATTGATAATATTCTTATAATGTGTGATAAAGATATCAATTATAGTTCGGATTGATTTTCCTGTTCTCAATGCGAGTGTATTGTGAAGGCATGTGAGACAGGATCATCATTACAAGTTCGATCGAGTTGAATCTTAGATGTGACAAACATCTTCATTTAACAACAAGTCCTTTACAACAAAACTTTGTGTATTATCAGTATCAACTAATTTTTGTCGTCAGCAAACAATGTTATGCTCGATTATGATATATGCGATATTGTACATTCTGAAAGATGAACAATAATAAGAAATTAATTAAATGAGAATGTTGGTATGCATAAATTATATTAATAATTGCCCAAAAATTGTTATTTACTTAAGTACCACCAGGTACTTAACGCTATTATAGCACTTAATTATCATATTAAACGATGATTAGTTTACATAATTAATAATTCATAAACATATCGAGATGAATATTGATTGAAGCAGATGTACGTATGTGTTGCATGATTTATTTAATTGATATAAGAATCGAAATTGTAAAAAATGAAATTCCTAAATTGTTGTTTTGTAATATCTGTAAGAGCAATAATTATTTTCACGAATCAGTGATTGGCTACATGATTCATGTGTAATAAACTTATTTGATACATCAGATATTACGTGTACCTTCACAAGTTCGCAAAAGATATAATTAAATATTAATTAATTTTAAACTTGTCGGAAGTACCGCACAAAATATCGGATAAGCATCGTATTCTGATAGTTAATTATAATTAATCGTATTTTTGTAAATGATATATGAGTGCAACTATGCAACAAATTAATGGCATGAAAAGGGAAAGAGATTTAGAACTCATCAGACGAGACAGAAAGGTGAGTAACATATAGGTACATATAATGTATATAATTATTATTATTGCTAATATTTATTCTTTTAAAATATCGATTTTACATTAATTTTTTTGTAGTTTATTTATTATGATACTAGATACTATATATTAAATTAGATTTCATAATTATAAATATTTTATAATAATTATAATATAATATACTGCTCTGTGATAATCGTACATAATACTGTGTTATAAATTTAGAATTTATTAAAACATTCTATAATATAAAAAAATTAAATTTTATATACACTTTTTTATTCTTATTCGACGTAATTTTAAAAAAAATCATAACTTTTGCAGAAAAAACAGGGTTGAATAAAAATTCTTAGTATAAAGTATTCTTTAAACTTAAACATCTTTCACTTAAAACTATTTTTTTATCTTATAAATGTATTATATACATCAGCATTAAATTAGGAGTTATATAGATATGATACATAAAGACAGAGACATGATTATATCTGCATTTACTTCAAAAGTTATAATTCATTGTGAAACTATAAAGCATCTGGTAATAGGTCTAAGTGGATTACACAGAGTACAGTCAAACACAAGTAGCGCAAATAGTTTGTAGTGAGGCAGTAGTAATATTTCGTACATGGTCAACTTACAATTAGGGCACGAGTGCCTAAACCGCTTTCCTCAAATACGAAACAGAAAGCGTAAAATATGTATAATAGTATAATTGATAACAACTGTATATGTGTTATTGACAATGTATATCTATAAATATAATCAACATTTGTATTACTATACAAATAATATAAATTGATGAAAGTAAAATACATAGTAATAATGTCTGTTAGTTTAATGCAAGAAATCCATACAAATACCACGAGCTTATTTCAAAGAATACAATTAAATTAATTAAACATAAGCTTTAAATTGTGATATCAACAATGTATAAATTATTATAATATGTAATGCGGTAAATATATTACACTAATATAAAAGCATAAAATATTGTAAAATTCTAATAATATCACGTTGTTTTATATTACTTTATCAATTAATCCTATTAAAAATGATTTTTAATTTAACATTTATTAATACCTATAAGATATAAATATTCTTTACATAAGCCTTCTTAAGAAATATAAATTTTGTTTTGGTAGTAAAGACTAATAAAAGACAAAATATTGTCAAGAAAGAGAGGGACAGAGAGCTATTAAAACTCTTAGTGTGTAAATCAGTTTTTTAAAAATTTCTGTTTCTTTTTATCGCAAAAGCTGTATATGGCGCGATATATCAATGCCTATCGCACACTTATAAACTATTCACGATATTGCCAGGAAAGCGACAAACGGTACAATTTCGTATCCTGCGGTAGCAAGCGATCGCAAGCGCGATATCAAAGTAGTGGAATAGTAATTGAACGGTGCCAGATACACGATCTGATCTTGCTGGATCTCTTCTGTCATAACGCGGACCAACACATGCACAAATCGGTCGCACGCGCGTTTTACGGCTCCCGATGTAAACGACGTCAGTCGTAATCCCAGATGGCCGCGCGAGTGCTCGACACTGCTCGGGATATTACCTGCGCCGTCCGTAACACCCATGTAATTGCGTTACGGGAGTTTTCATTTCGTGTTGCATACCCGGCTATAACATTTTCTTTCGTTCCGCGTAATCGGTTGCGCGCGGTTTGCGGTTATTAAAGTGAGAAACTTAATAAACAATAATGAACCAAAAGATTTCAATTGTTATAAATCATTAATTTATTACATTTTAACAATTATTTATAATCTACAAAATTTAGATAGCTGATGGTTATTTGATAATTATTTGATATTGGAAAATATTTTACAAATATAAAATAGCGTATTTATAAAACCGCATAACATGTTTAATTAAGTCTTTTTTATTTATACATACCTTTTTGCTCTTGTATGTATAAATTCGGTTGCTATTTTAAAAATAAAAGTCAATTGAAGGTAAGTACACATCCGTACATAATGATAAAAAATATGGTTAAATGAAAATATCTGTTATGAATTTTATTTTTTAACTTGAACTAATTAAAAATTGTATTGCAAAATAATAATTGAGCAAAAAATTTTTATTTGCAATATACTAAAATAACTGATTTAGTTTTTTATGCACATTATTATAATGCATAATATCATAAATAATTATTTATTGTTATCTAAAGTCAGCTAATTTCTGCGTTATAGAATTAAAAAGCCGAGTGGTAGATAATGTGGTTTGGAAGAAATAAAATTAAACCTAAGAACAATACCTTTATCAGGCAATGGATGACAAAATATTCGGAGAAATCACCGCGCTTGAAGGTTATATCACAATATTTAAAATTGTATTATGAATATTCCACTATAAACAGTTTGAAATACTTAGCTGATTCTCGCAGACCTTGGTTTGAAAGGTAACCTCAATCATGTTTATTTGTAGTACAAATATAATATGTGTACAAATGGATATAGATTTATGTAAGAATTTTCAAACATATATATATATATATGATACGTATATAAATGCAAATTTACATTAATTATATTAAATAAATATAAATATAACAAAAGACGTGCTGCTTTAGATTTAGCTTTATCGAAACAATATGGTTTTTTTAGTTCTTTTAATTAATAATAAACTTTAATTTTGCATTATATGTTAAACATTTTAATATGTGAAACGTTGAAATAGATGAAAGAAAGGAAAAGAAATATTTTATTTAAAAATTAACCTAAGTACATGGCAAGCAGACATTATCGTTACCATTTTATCAAAATAACTATAAATGACGTTAGTTACTTGGGAAACAATATTTTTAAATTATTGTTTATAATCTTAATTAATATATATAATGTTGTGTAATTATGATTTAGTGATACACAAAAACTCTGTATACATTAATCTAAACATTATTTTTAAAATGATATCATATTTGCAATGTATTTTAGAAAGAGTATAGTAATTTATATTCGAAAATTTAAAAAGTTTTCTGTAAATTTGTGTATCTGTATGTGTTTTTTAATACTTTCCTTTTGTTTTTAATTATATTTAACCTTTTTTAAAAGGATATCTATTAAATTGCTACTATCTATTTTATTTATATTTTTGAAACATTCTAAGTTACGCGCAACACTAACGTTTTATATTTAGAAGATCTTAGTACGATAAAATTTTACTTAAGTAGGATTTATTTGGATGTTATTTACTCATCTAACAACGTAAACTTGCGCTTAAAAGCCAACTCGCATAGTACGATTATCGGGTCTTTATTAAAGCAATGATAAAAGTGATTTGCGCAGACTATGCACGTGAGACTTTACAGATGCATACATTATAGCTCGCATATATAAGCGGAATGTATGATTAAAGTTATACAGTTTAATGAGCGTATACTAATTTTTCGTGTGATTAACGGTGCCACGGTGAGTAGAGATTCTTGGATTCATGGTGGTCCGCACAAATCAAGTCATCCACAAATCACGATCCCGTTTCGCGGTACGAAACAAATGCGGTGCCCTTTGTAAAAATAAGAAAAAAGAAAAATGGAAAAAAAATGTAATTTCACAAAATGCTGGAGTCACGTCGCGATACGGCGTCGCCAGTTGATTTAATGTAACGTTACGCGTGACGTTAATAGCGCGGTGCGAATTCGGTAATGAGCATATTGTGGTACGAACAGGAACAAATTGTTGCTTGATATATCGCTTCATTCACAAGCAAAATCTATATTTTGCTTTACAGCTCTAATCTTGTTAGCTTTAAATTTCTTAAAGTTATATATGTAAATAAAATATACTTTTAATCTTTAATTTTTGAGCCACTTACTAATATTGTTAAAAATAAAAAAAACTTTAAATAAATAAAACAAGCGAATAAGATGAAATAAGCGAATAAAATATAATCACTTTAACTAAATAATAATATTTCTGCACTTGCTGTTGTAATTAAATATTATCTTTCAGAATTTTGTGGGTTATTATACATTTCATAATTATATCTTTTCTGGTGCTTATGGTTTACACTACCTATCAAGAATTTATGACGACACCTTTAGTAACTTCTGTAGATATAGATGATTATAAAACGACCGGTTTACCTTTTCCAGGTAAGATAATGATATTTCTTAAAATTTGTATGTGTGTGCATATATGTATGTATGTTATTTATTTATATTAAGATCTATTTGATTTTGATAGTGTAAAACTGTTTATTCTTATATCCGTTTTGTTGTTAAAAACTTTTGTAACATCAAGCTAGGATTATTTATACAAATAAACATTTTCTTGTATGTATACATACATACATATATATATATATATATATAAAATATATTTGTATTCAAGTAAAGGAGCTGTATTTTTGCAATAAATATTGAAATTAAATTGAACATAGAATTGTAAAATATAAAAGATATAAATATGAATATGAAAGACATAAGAGATATAAACATAATATTAAAAAAAAAAATTAAATAACCTTTTTCTTTTAAGTATTTCTTAAAACTCTCTCTTCTTTTTAAGGAGAGAGTGAAAGAGAGAGAAGAGAAAGAGAAAGCTTTTATATCACTTTCATCATACACATATATACTATTTAATATTAAAAATCTAAAATATTACAAAATATTATTATATAATATTTTTTCTTTGTAAATATAGAAAGTTTTTTTATACTTTAAAGTTATTTTCTTCTTTTTTTGGTGATTTTATTCTATTTTCTATTTTCTTTTTTTTTATTTTATTATATTATTTAAAAGTGTACGCCTTGATAATTTGTAGCAATCGCCATCTGCTCCATTAACAGGATAAGTCGGCAATCCACAACGGAACTAGCGATCAATATGTGAGCTCGATTTATATATTAAATAAACACAAACTATATTCACGTATATTAAATGTATTTGCGTATGCGTGAACGATTGCAAGATATTGATACACATGCAAATCCACTGTAGCATTTTGGATGCATGTGGATGTGATTTCGTCGTTTTACATCAAACTCCACCAATCGCACAATCAATCGGGATCGTTTGAAATATCGCTGACTGTTTAACTCGTATTATTCTGCAAATTTTCTCCGCCAACGCTGAAACAGTCACTACATTTACCAGTGCGAATTGCAAATATTCGAAAATATTGTTGGCTTGATCGTATAATATAATTTACCTCTAGATTATATTGATAACAAAACGACAGTACAAATATTTGACAATACGGTGTTAATATTATATTACGTATAATTATTAATTTGTTCAGATATGAGAAAGTTACTTTTTAAAAGTAATCTATTATTATTTATTAAGTTAAAAAGTAAGTTATTGTTAATTAAAAAGTAACAATTCATTACTTTTTTAATGCTAAAACAATATCAATCTAAATAAATAATTTACTTTTGTAATACTTTTTATTAAAATTTTAATAAAAGTAATAAAAAAATTAAATATAAAAATATTAATTTTTAATTTTTACTTAGATTAACGTCTTGTCGTTTGCACATGACCTACCAACCATGTGGATTTGATTGTTTGACGTTGAGAGTGACCACTTTTCTACAGATCCATGTCTTTTATTTGAATTTACTACTGAAGATGGCCCGGATGTTAGGCCGAAACGTATAGTATTTTATATATGACATTTTTTGATTGTTAACGAGAATATATATTGTTTTTTGTGATTTCGCATTGATAACAGCGAGTTTACTCTCATTAGCCTTTTTATTCTTTGTATTTGAAAAGTAATAAAATCCTTATTTTAAATTTAAGGTTTATAACTACAAAAAAGAAGGTTTTGAGATGATCGAAGTGAGTTAAAATCTTGTTTTTTATTAAATTTATAAATGTAGCAAAAATACTTTATTTTTTGCCCTTAATCTTTTGTTTAAAATTTTAACATGTATTTTCGCACGCACGTATATATAAAATTTTAAAGCTTAAACTGACTGCTGTTTTTTTCTGATAAATGTTTAACTAATATATGATTTCTATCTTTTTGTATATAGAAAAATTACAACAATATTAATTTTATTTAAATAATTAATATTAAAAATTATGGATTTAAGTGGATAAAAACATAAGAAAAGGTAAAAAGGTGTAAAATTGTAAAAGGTTTGTGTTTTACTTCTCTTCATGCATTTCATAAAAATTTATTATATTGTAATAAAAATTTCAAGGCTAAAGGCCCTTACTCTGTTATTCTTAATGATGTTGTATTAACGTTGCACAGCTTTTTTTACCATATATAAAGTCTGCGTAACGAGAATATAATGATATCGTTACTGTCGTTGAAAGTTGCAGAATAGGAGTCTAAAATTTGTACTGCCGTCTTTATAAGGATTGATAGATGTTTAAAAGTAACGAATTCATATTTCTTAAGTAACAGTATGTTATTTTTTATAAAAAGAAATAATTATTTTTATAAAGTAACGTTGCCAATCTAATGACAGACAAATAATAAATGTATTCTAAATAAATGTAGAGATCATAGGCGTGACAAATGATATGTATCTAAAGTTGATAGATACCAGCCTATATAATTGAGGATAGATTTACTAACCATAGTGGTATTTTCATTGACACACCAGAGAATAGAGTTAACTCGCTGCAATTGATACGATATATACGCGAAGCTTAATCGACCGGTCAACGCATTGAATCCTACTTCGCTTTTTACGATGTTCCGAGTCAACTGGCGCGCCGATTATCATTAATTCGGTATCGCGCACTCTCTTCGGACGCAACGAGAACGGATCGATGCATTGCGCATTGATGGAGAGCGTAGAATCAGTGGTTACGGTTCATTTAATAAGGTGTTAATATCCTAAAATCGAACCGTTTTGCGTGACGCTATCTTATAGCCATTCGCGAACTTTTGGCTGTTAATGGAAGAGACGTTTCCGGAATTGTTGATTTGGAACAAGAATCTTCAAAGTTTCATATAGCTTTAACACAAAGTTTCATCTCGTTGGTACATCGATTAAAATGTCATAATTAAAAAGCATGTTTTTGATTATAGATTAAACACTATAGATGCATATATTTTAATAGAAATACATAATATTTTGACACTGTCGACTATTTATATATGTAACACTATATCTTATACAATATGTTATATAATTTTACATACGTATAAATTTCTACATTGTTATAAACTGGTCTAATTTCGTGTTTTGAATTGCTACTTTTTCATTTTTTAATATTAAATAATTAAGTATAAAAAAGGTTTAAATAAAAGACACGCGAATTGATCAAAATTCAATAAGCATTTAAAAATATTTATTTTATTAATTTTCAAAATAAAAAGATAATATATAGGAACATTTTATAATAAAAGATTTGCATTTAAAGTTTTATATAAATTGTCGTACAATTCATTTTTGTAAGCTAAATTATAATTACGCTCTATAACAAAATATGTGTTGATTTACGTGTTTTATTGGCAAACGCATATTTAAATAGGTATTATGTTACTAAAGGTATTATATGAATATTATTATATAATATTATTTATTAATGACAAAATAAATGGAGTAGCGTAATGTATTAACGTTTTCAAATTATGCACCTACATATATAACCGACACAAACAGATTATCATATACTGTAGAGATTAAAAAAAATGTGCAATTTGAATTTTTCATCATATTTTCTTGATTATTTAAGAAAATCTCTTTTAATTTGCATTAAATTAATTATATTGCACGATAACACGTGTAATGTAAGTTGGTAATACTGAAAATAATAAGAAGAATAGAATCACTAGTTTCTTTTGTTTCGTTTTCATGCTTACATGTTATAAACATGAGTTTATCCTTGGTATTTATCAAGTATTAAACAAGAATAAATGATGCTTACATTATAAACGCAGAACGAAATGCACCCTGTAAGAGAAGCGCAAAAAAATAAATAAATATTGAGAATGATCCGATCGGTGTCGAAACGTTTGTAATCATTTTTATTTTTATGCTTTAAATTAAACGATCTTTATTACCCAACTGGCTCTTAGCCCTTCAATTGTTCTATTTTGTTAAATATATATTAGTTTTGTGAGCAATTGCAATATTTTTAAAATATACAAAAATATACAGTCCATTCTTATCTAACATTGCTAAAGGTATTAATGCTGTTTTTATTATTGCTATAAATAAACACATAATTTACATACACTAAAAAGATTTAATTGTGAAAGGCAATGAAAGAAATTATTATATAAAAATTGTGTTTTTTTTTTCGAAAATTATATACTTTACTAATTTTTTCTATTTATACCTATACAGAGAATTAAATAAATAAAAGAGCAATTATGATATAAAAATATTAATATTTGCTAGTTACTAGTTTTGAAAGCATTACGTGGTACACCACCAACCAATTTGTTCATCACATAGAATGAAAATTTAATTATCAACTTTGAATATATATCACTTTTCCTATTATAGAGTTTATCGAACTTTACACTATGAACACACATTGTTTCAAAATATTTTCAGTATAATATATAACATACCATAACGTACCATAAAAATATATAAAATCTGTTATGTTGTTGTCTACAATGTAGAATTACGATGGTCAAAAGAAAGTTTTGCGCATCTTTTTCGTTCGCTATTGTATATTAAAGATATCCTTCAGAAAAATATATGTATATCATATAATATGATGGCTCTTAATGGAACATTTACTACATTTTTCTTTAAACCAGTTTTAAGGCAAATATCACGAACCAGACAGTCGATGAAATTCTCAACTTGTTAATGCAGTTGGGCAATCTCTACCTTTTTAATTTTAACTTGGATGATAATTATGATGTGGAATTAGATAAACTTTTAACAACTTATTATAACGGATCTTATGATGTCACTGAAATAATGAAAGCTGTACGTATGCAAATTCAGCGAATGTTTCAAATATATATACGTATGTGATACTCTAGAATTTTACTTATACGCTTTCATTAGTTTTTTTCTTATATATTATACATGTATGTTGATGTACGAATAAAGTCCTTTTAATTATGTAATAATTAAATAACTGTAATGATACATTTGTTCAATTTTTATTGTTTAGTGTAATAATGGAAGTTTAAATTCAATATTTTATCTAATTTTAAATGTAATTTTTTTTATAATCTCATTACTACTATATGAATATTCTACGAATATTCCCTGTTTAAATTTATCTCCCTAGCTTTCAGTTTTCTGATAATTCTAGCAAACAGGAATCATTTATATGTAGGCAGGCGCGTTACTTAATTTCTTTGGAAATATACCCAGTGAGAAATGATAATGGAATCGATGGTAAATTTGATGTTGATTCCATTATCATTTCTCATTGGATAGATGCTTTAAATGCAAGGTTTTTTTGAAGATCAGTTAAAATGTTATTTACACAACATCTTGCGTGTCGATTGCCTTTGTTATCGCTCAGAAAGTTGTCGGCAATTTACAACATGTATTGCGTATTTGCATTTTCCAGTTGACTCCGCAATGTTCGATAATGTTATTGATGTGTAAGCTGCATGGAATCTACGAAAATTGCTCGACACTTTTTAAGTTTCGCAAAACGCAGGACGGATACTGTTGCACCTTTAATTACATACGTGAAAGCGATGACATTCTCGAGTAAGTATCTCGTGCTTTCAAAACGTTTTTTCGGAGAGCATACACACAACATGCAATAGTTCAATCATTTATTTGACTAGTTTATCTATTGTATGTTCAGGCAGCGCAGTAACATATTTCATGTAAATGAAGGATTTTCCCAAGCTGTATATATCATTATGTATAATATAAAAATGTTTTGTTATTTCATTATTTATATAAAATTATTCTATTTATCATTTTATTTTAGTATATTTTATCATTATTGTTTAACGATAAGAAATAAATATATTTTTTAAATTAATTATTTTAAATATTTTTTAATTTATTTAAAAGTGGCTACAAATACTGGCCAAATTGATAGAAATTGATTCATAACACAAACTACATTGCTAAATTATCCATAATGCTTGTTGAACAGAATGTTGTAGAATCATAATGTTTGTTGATTAAAATGTCCTCGTTGAATTATATTGTTTGTTGATTATAGATCACAGTATATCATTATGATTATATCGCAGGAAAATACTCTCATTTGTTTTGATTTTTTTGTACATACCACGCGACACATTACAAAGATTGATTACTGCAATTTGAAAAAGTAATTGTTTATATAGAATAATTTATGAATATTCTTTTAATTATGTTATTAATATGTAAATAAATTATTCTCAGCAGATGTTTAAATTATTGTTCATTTACATTGGCAATAAATTTACATATTTAGATTTAATCTCTTGAGCCTATGTTTTTATAGAATTATTTAAATTATGTTAGAAATCAACTTTTAATCCAAGATAATCTTATTTAAATCAATCAAATGTAAGTTGCTTATTTATATTTATAAAGTATGTATGTTTTTTTGAAGATTAGTCAAAGTGTTATTTACACGCTATCTTGTGTGTCGACTGCCGTTGTTATCACTCAGAAAATTGTCGGAAATTTACAACATGTATCGCATATTTGCATTTTCCAGTTGACTCCGCAATGTTCGATGATGTAATGTATTGTCTTGACAATGCATATTAATTTTTAATGATTAATAATTTTATTATTATGTTTTGATATTAAAAGAATTATTCTTTATATATTAAAAAAAATTATCTTTTATATTAACTTGAGATTTTAAAGGCACATATGACATGGTATTCCCTTTATACAAATTATGTTTTATTAATCTATTAATGCGTCATTGTTATATGTTCGTATTTGATGATTTTATAATTTAATGAGAAATTAATATCAATGTATTAATATTACATTATATAATTTATGAGAAAAAAGTTTTACATATTTTACGCTTTTGAGGCTTTCACGGGTATTTTCTTCAATTATACCAGAAGGTTTGCGAGTTATCGCCGTGTCTTTCTTCATTATTAATGCCATTATTAAAGGCATTAATAATGAAGAAAGACACGGCGATAACCCGTAAACCTTCTGGTATAATTTTAGAAATTTTGATTGTAATTTCCAATAATCATTACGATAATCTATAATAATATACCAAATAATGTTAAAGGTAAATCAATTTAAAACTTCATAAAAAGAAAAATATCGATTTTTTAGTTTGAAAATATAATGCTAAAAATTTTAAATATAAGCATCATAGTTGTTAAAAAAATTAATGACCGTAATTATATTGTAACAGAATGAACAATGTTGAGATGATTGAGCCGCAAAAAGTGTCGGATCTCGGAATAGAACGCGGTTTAACGGTTTTAATGAATCCACTTTTGGACGACTGTTTCTATTCAATATTGCCCATTAAGGGTTGGAAGGTAAGTAGAAAAGATACACACACACACACACACATTGGATGCTATTTTAATAAATTAAAAAACCAATGATCTCTAATATTCCACATTCTCGAGAATGGCTTATATTTCGGAGCTAAAATTAAATCTGCTATCAAGGAAAAACTGTTTATTGTTCATGCAAAATAAAAAATCTGGAAACTACTTATTTTTTTATCATATTAATCAAAAGCATCACTGTTCAACCTAAATTCTGAGAAACTTGATAATACATAATTACATAGAGTGTTTCTAGAATGTTTCGCTTAACTTCGTCAGCGTGTCTTAATTATTAAGGTAATGATAAAAGTTTGAATGAATATAAAGAACTTTTATTTAAAATTGTTATTTAAAATTGTTGTAAAAAAGAATTGAGTAATTAAGAGTATTTCATGTAAATAAATAACAGTCTCAATTAAATCATAAAAACTTAACATTATAAACGTGGAAATGGCATTGTAAGAGTCAAACGAAAAGAAAATTAACAACAAATTAATACATATATTCTAAAATGAACTTATAAAAATTTACATAAATGTAACGATTAAAAAAACAGATGTTAAATTATATTACTAGTTTCGACCACCAAATCTGGTCCTCTTCAGATGAAACACTTAACGTTGAGATGTACATAATTATGGACAAACATCAATACAAAAGAAAATCTTGTGCATAGTTAAATATATAACTGAAAACAATAAATGAACATATATTAATTAAAAGATTGTAATCTTAAATTCTAAGAATGAAAATTAACGATGCGCAAAACATACCAAAAAATTTGCAAAACTATGCGTGAAAATATTAGTTGGTCCGTGTATCCATATATTTACAAAAATAGTCATAATGATAATTGTCACACAATAAAAAAAACAGTAAAAAATTTTTTCTTTAAAAAAACTTATGTCAGAAATATTACAAAACTGTCGAAGTACATCTTGAGATAAAAAGTAATACATGGAACACGTCAAACATCCTCAACGGACCACTTCCAACTAAATAACGACCGGCAACAACTGATACAGAAAGATCAAATTTTGTTTATAATGGGTATATATGCTTCATGAAGACCTTCCGTGTCGGTTTGTAAGTTTAGGCTAAATTTCTGTTTTTTAATATTTAACATTTCTGAGACCAATCGCTTCCTGTAACAACTTAATTTAATTCTTTGAGAATATAATTCTTTGACATAAAAACTTAATTTAATTCTTTGAGATCTTATAATATCAAGAATAACTATGTAGAATAGATTACTTCACAGTTCCATTAATAATATAAAATTACGCTGAATATTTGCAAAAAATTATTAATATTTTTTTTATAAATTCGTTATTATTTTATAAATAAATGAAACACAGCGCCACGGTAAAAATTCGTTCGCTAGTACGTAAATTATAATCTAACTTATAATTTAGAAAACGTCTTGCATGAGAATTGCCTGGAAATATCTCCGTCTCGCGAAAACGGGTCATATTCGACTCATAACGAGTTGTTACCACGAGTGCTGAATATGAAAAGGGGCTAATCGAGCGAAATGAAGATTTATTCTTGCAATGCTTTATGATGCTAAAGTAGCGTTAACGTTCGATTCTACATGTATAGTGCAAAGTACCACGAAATATGTATCTACATTTCAAATGCATTTAAAACACACAGACAATTAAGAAATTATATTTTGTTGTTCATTATTAGTATAATACATGTTTACTATTTTATTAGCTTTTAATGCATTAAAGTAAAGTTGTCATTATTATTATATTCATCATAAAATAATACATTTTCATTTATTAATTTTTAGAAATGAAAACAAAGAGCAAAACTATTTTATAGTTATAATATTAAGTAAATCATATATATATATATATATATATATATATACAATGTATACCATATATACAATTATATTTATACATATATATATATACATATTAACACTTTAATTGATAGTTTAATTTACAGATTAAAGAAAAAAAGTATAAAATTATATTAAAAAATACAAAAATTTTTTATTTTTCCAAAAAACATATGAAAAAAGATTCAGAGTACAAAAGAGTATAAAGAATTTATTTTAAATATTATTTGTATACATATAGCATAAACATAAAAATATTCTAATTCTATTTTTGTAGTATAAACTAATTTCTTAATTATTTCCTAAGTATTAATTAATGCAAGTTTTAATAACTATTGAAATTAATTATAAAAAATACAATCTCTTACATATAATGTATTTCAACTATATAGTGTTCACATATCAAATCTATTGTAGCGACAAGATAATCGGTAGCTGCCTCATGCTGTGAACTTTTTCCACGCTTACTGTGCCATTACAAGCCACCTGTGCTTCATTCGCGCATAGTGCATGGTGATAAAAAGCTTGTGAAAGTCATTAGCGGCGCGATATAATCGCGCGTTTTCTTCACTTCGCCATATTCGCAGTGTAGTGTGTACTTTAGGCTGTAGCAGCTAGCACTTACGGAGAACTCGCGTTCGGTAAAAACGTGCTAGAAGATTCTATTCTTTTGTCGAGATATTTTTATCGTTTACTTTTAGATGCATTGCAAGATTAAACTAACTTTTTAAAGAAATCTATATTATGTACAATAAGGATAATTAGTATATATTTATATATCTTTAATAATTCACAAAAAATTATTTGTTATTAATTTCAAATTAATATTAGACAGTTTTTATATAAAAGAATCCAAACATTTGTATGTTAAAACTAAAGATACGGCTTAATTTATTAAATAAATTTTGTAATTGTTGATTTATTAATTATTATTTAATCACTGTAATATATACAGAATTTAACAAAAAATTATTTTGTGAAATACGTTTATATTTATCACATTGCTTGAATTTAACATTCTTTGTTTGTTAATTTTTTTTTGTGTCTTTAATTATTTTAAATTAAAATTAACTTGAACATTTATAAAAAAAATTGTAATATAAAATGATTTCTCCAAATATGTTTGTTAAATAAATATTTATCTTGAAACATAATGAAAGCTTCCATTTAGAAAATGTCCGAAGTCTTTTTACTTTAAAACGATAAGAATCAGTTGTTCTTGATTAATACATAAATTAATTAATTTATTAAAACGAATTATTTGATAAGACTCGATTTTATTTCTGTACTTTAATAAAATATAGCATGCTTATTAAAATATAGTACATAGATATGATACACACCACACACATACACACACATAGAACATAGTTGCAATATAGTATTCCAGGTAAATGTTAGTTACGTCGTAATTAACTTGTGGAAACAGACCAGCGCATTACACAAATTACGATGTCTCTTTTTGCAGTGCAGCATAAAAAAACATATTACATGCGACGCTACAAAAACTATGAGTCTCAAATGAACTTGAGTAAAGCAAAAAAATATATCGCATATAATGTTTACATCATCAATGTGTGTGTGTGTGTGTGTGTGTGAATGTTTTATAAATATTATATATATATATTTTTTAAATATCTAGTTGTTTGACTTATAATAATCACAATAAATAATATCTACATATTTTTGGAAAAATGTTCAATATTAATTAATTATTGTATGCAAATATAATTTATTTAATTTTGATAATTAATTAAATTTAAAGAAGTTGTGTGTGTGAGAGAAAGAGAGAAAGAAAGAGAGAGAGAGAGAGAGAGAGAGAGAGAGAAAAGTTGAGTAAAACTAACATTCTTTGAGTTTATAGGTGATTGTATTCAATCCTACCGATTATCCAGATAAGACCAGTGGTGGTGTTACAGAGGTACTCGCAATGCCTCTTTCCGAGACCTTTCTAGACATGGTTGCAACACTTTTCGTCAGTACCGCATTCATCAAGAATTTCCCTAGGAATAAACGTAATTGTGTTTTCTCAGATGAGGGAAAATTAATATCTGGTAATACGATGTATACTTACAGTGATTGTATCGTCGATTGTAAGGTTTATTACATACAGAAGCACTGTGGATGCAGACCATTCTTTTATCCACGTCGCGGCAAGAAAGATTGTTAGTAAAAACATTCATTTTCTAACTATTCATATTAGTCTCTAAAAAAGTTGTTTAATTTTTCGATGCAAAATCATAAAATCTATTAATTTTAATTAAAAACTGGGGAGGGGGTTATTGTATTCAATTTATAAAATTGAATAAAACGTAATATACTTGATAGATATGACTTATACATAGGACTCTTTTTTCAAATTAAATTTTTTTTCGACTGTATACTCATTTGCATATTAAGGTAGTATTTGATAAGAATTTCTGTTGCGTGTTATAATTTTGAAAGACGAATCGTTAAATAATAATGGTAGACGGATATTAAATCTTACAGCGACTATGATTTTATAATAGGAAGTTTTTAATTTCTCGAGATTCCAAATTACATTTTATAATTTTGTGAAAGCTTTAACTGGCTTATAATTCTATTCAGCTTCGCAAATTAAAAATTTAAATGCGCTTGCTATTGCTTTCTTTTCTAAGGTTTAAATTATAATTTGCAAATAAAGTTAGCAGTATGAAAAATGTATTATCAAATATCTCAAATAAAGAAAATATAATAAAATTAGTTCTTTTAGTTACGAAAAAATAAAAGAATTTTTTAAATTCTTATAAATACCTGTAGATTTTCTGTTTACAAATTTTTTAAATGTTTAAGTTACACTTTTTTAAAATATAAATGTGTTACATTTAACAAACGATTACAAATTTAAAAATTGTCACATATATTCAACTGTAAAGGCAAACACATGATAAGGAATCTGTACAGTCAAAAATGAAAAATTATTAAATCTAAAACTACTTGTATATTTATTATTCTTCAGTGTCTCATTCATATATGGCTTGAGAGCTTTATTAAGCTCTCTTATCTGATGACGCTATTAAAATCAAGTGGCAAGATATCACTTAATGATCACCATAATAATATGCAATAAATGTTTTATTTATTTATTATAAAGTCGGATTATTTTGTAAGATTAAAAAGTCTCGATAAAACTGATATCAACTTTGTTGATCTTGACTATAGTATTATATATCCGAGTAACAAACGAATTTCGATGTTAATAGAACGAACGGTAACATCGAACTTGTAAACCCTACACTCGTAACAGCGCGAACTACTTTCATTGATGTTTCTTTGCAGTGCATCACAGTCTACCGAGGCTGACGATTCGACAATATTGCTAGCAATCTTCGGAACAAATAGTGTTGCTTTTTTCTTCTCGATTTTATTTCCTTCTCAAATTCTCCTTATCCAATTTAACCTTTCTATTTATCTTCTTTTGTTCGTAGCAAAATACGATTTACATGTTTTAGAAAATATGATAAAATATTTATTTAATTGTTATTATTTGTTATCTGTTAATGCAATAGAATATATTAGATAAAGCTAAATTAAATAATCATAACAATCGACAAACTTTACAGAAAGTTTTTGTTTAATAATAGATATTTTAAAGAATTAGTTTATATTAAGTAAATTAAGAAATATTTAATAATTTCTGAGGTATTACATGATTTTCATAATTAACGTTATGTTATAATAATACCATTATTACATCTATATTTTTGATAGTGTTTTTAGATACATAAAAATATATAAATACAAAAATTAGTCAAAATTCATAAAGGTCTTCAGTAATAACATAACAATTTTTGTACTAGTAAAAAAAATAGGAAATCGATAAAAGAAGAGAAATGAGAAATCAATCTAAGCGAACAGTCAATATGTGATAACGTCATAGACAACGTATCTTTCGAAGCCAATAAGATTTCCGTCAATTCCTCACATCCTTCTCACATCTCTCATTCATGCTTCGATTTTTCTGTCTTTGTCACAAAAGTTGAAATAAAACAAAAATGTATTAATTAATATTAAATAAGAAAGCACGATAAAAATTGTTGTTAAAAATATAATAATTGAAAGTAAAGTTTTGAATTTAGTTTTATTAATTTACAAATTAATCGAAATATAAACTATAATCACTGTTTTTAATAATGTGAATTAAAAAATGTAATTGCAGATTATAAGTGAAAAGTATATAATTAAATATAATTAGATATATAATATTTCTTATTAAGATATTAATCATATTAGAATCATGATTACGATAATTAAAAGAAACGTATAAATTAGGATAAACGTAACTAATTTTATCATAATTTTATCGTAAGGTTTTTTATTACTTAATATTAGAGATAAGAGAGATTTAAATAGATACGATCCTTACTATACAGTAAGGATCGTATCTTATTGGATAAATCGGGTTTCTCCAGACCCGTGAACTCTCTTACATCCCGGCGATTTCTTTCTTCTATCACGAAGTCGAGAGGCGTGGGCGGCAATCTGTAAAGGAACGTTGCGCGCCGCATTGCGAGACGTACGCGTTCGTGAGCTTTCTAACGAGGCTTTACCACGGGTGGCTTAAAGCATTAAAGCGGATCGCGTGAAGCATCGCTCTGTAGGATTAACTTACTGTGGCCTGGGTTCTAGCAAAGGAGAGGAACTCGTTGAAAGCGGTGCCGCGCCGCGTGCAACACTGAGTACTCCTCTCTCTCTGTTCTTTCGTTTTAAAGCCATCCCGATTGCTCTTTTTCTCGCGCTTCATCGATAGCACAGGGCGTGCTTGGAGTCGTTTTTCTCGCTGCTGCCTTCTCCGTTCTCCATATTAATCAACAACACGTGCAACGACGCCCGCTCGACGTACATACTCTCCATTTTTCCTCATACTGCTCAAAATATGAACATTTTTTGCAAATTTTTTATATTTTTATTTAAAAATTAAAAATAAATTTTGTAATAATAATGTAATTTTATTTGGTGATTATTACATTATACGGCATGATAAAGATTTTATTTGTTAATTGTTTACAAGAAATAAAGAAATCTTTGGCAATATTAAACAACAAGAGCAATCAATTTTTTAATTTTATTTAAAAATGACAAGACGTAAATAAACGTGATGTAATAAATGTAAATTAATATTGAATTTTATCGTCTTGTTTATTCGTTATACAGTCCGACAAAGAATTTTGATGTTTTAAAGTTATATTAAAAAATTAAACAGAACTGAAAGGAAAACGCTATATTTGGTCAAAGTGATCCTTTACGTGTCTAATATCTTTTATGAATTTATAAAATAATATAAATATAATTTAATAAAAAAAATTATAATTTTAGAAGTTTTTATGAATTTATATATTTATTAAATTTCTAGTTTAAGCACATTGTGCGCTAATTATTTGTTGGAACATAATCGTAAACTGAAGCTGGAGTAGTAACATCATTAATTAAATTGACAAGTAATTTAATGTTAAAGATGCTAATATGCATATTTACGATCCTGTAAATAATTTATTGTGAAAAATATTATCTCAACTGGAATTCGAACTGATGTTCCGAATTCCGTGCCGTCATTTTCCCAATTCGAGAAGAATATGATAATATTTTATCGGAATAATTAAAAAAAAAAACAAAATGAGGAATTTTTTATGATGTAATATGTTTATAATATATAAACTGTAATACATATATATTTAAAAATAGAAGTTATAATAAAATATAGCAATTTAATTAAGTTGTAAAAACTATCTGATTCCTTAAAATTTATTTTGCAAGAAAGAAACTATAATTTTATTTACAAATTTTGTCGTGTTTTTTGTAGATTAATCTTACAAATATTTTTTGTTTATATTTATTACGTTTTATTTGTAATATATATATATATGTTGTTATATGTTTCAGATTCATCGCGTATTTGTAATAGCTTGGACAACCGATGCCTAATTAGGCATAAAGGTAAACATTATTACATTATTAATATAAAAACAATTATTTTTACATAAACAACTTGAAAACTTTAATATTTACATTATTTAAAACTTATTTAAATAAATTAATAATTACGTGCGCGATTACTTTATTTATATTCGATATACTGATTTTTATTTCTTCTATGAAATAGCTAACTGGTCAGCAATTCTCCCTCACGAGGAAGAACATACCAATTTTGAAAAAGAAGAAAGAGCTTTACATTGTTACAATTGTTATGCTTCCTGCAACGATGACTTTGATTACGATGTATTAAGTTGGAAGACTCATATGACTCCTGGTATATTTAATACTAATTTCTTGTAAGTATACGACATTTCTGTCAGGATAAAGTATAAAATTCTTTTTGGAGATTCCTAAAAAAGGGCGCTGAAACTATTTTTATTGCTTAATTTCAGACTAAATTATAATGTTACTAATGAAGGAATAGTACATATATACTTTTCAAAATACGAGACAATCAGATTGATACAAGACACGTCTTTTTACTGGTATGATCTCGTAAGTAAGTACAGATTGTGTTAAGGAATTATACTTATAAATGAGAGATTAAATTTAAATTCTTTAATCCGAACTTTTATATCTTTTTATCGGATTAAAAACTTTTAAAAAGGCTCATGAAGTAAACGCAATTTGTTTTAAATATAAAATCAGTTATAGAAACAAGATTCTTTTATTTATAATACTTCTTTAACAAATTTTGTAATTATAAATTCAATTATTCTAATTAGTTTTTAAAAAATGTTTCTTTCAATAATCAAATTTAACATAAAAGCTATAAAAATAATTTTGCAAAGTAAATCAAATTGAGCAGAACAAGAATGTGTAAAAGATACAAACGGTTCAGCTTAATATGTCATTAAACTTAATTAGTATAAATATAATACTTACAATTAATGCCAAGACACTATCACGTCCTGATATTACAGCGCCATATCATATATATATATATATATATATATACATTATATCTATATAATTAGATTTTTAAAGGAATGTCTCTTCATGGTTTGCGATATTTCTGCCTTCAACATTTTTAATTAATTGTACATTGCGGAAAAGAGTAAATTATAAAGAACTTTGCATTTGATATGAAAACTGACGATGAGTAAATCTTTTTACAGTTGATACAAAACATATGAAAAAGATATCACATGATCAAAGCTAGAGTAGTGTGGAAGAGAAATTTTCTGTCTGCGTTCTTCTGTAGGATGCCCGAGGGTTTTCAAAAATGAAATTTTAATATCCGACTGTGTATCACGTTTCTCCACTCTAGTCTGGTTCTCGTGTAAAAAAAATGATAATACTTCTCACATAGCGCAATTTCTAGTTACCGGTGCTTACTTTGCGAATAAATTGCTGAAAAGAGGAATATTTTCTGAAAAACATGGAAAAGTTTATTTGACATTTGACTTTTCATAAGCCGAAAAATTTAAGAAAACAGTTTTTAATATATAATTAATGTACATTAGAGAAAAACAAAAAAAAATAATTCTATTTGAAAATTTCAGATACTTTACTTATATTAGTTAGAACATTTGTGTTATTATGAAAATAATTTTCTGTATATCTTATTTTAAACATACACATTCTTTATTTTGTATATTTATCTATTATAAAAATCAGAAAAAAATGGTAATGTTTCAAATGTGAAAGCGCAGATATATACCTTTTTCAACACTACTTTAAATACACAGTCATAAATTCTACATTTATTTAAATCTACCCGGGAGTCATTATGTTTTTACGTTAACTACTAATGGAAAGCAATAATTCTATATTAATACAAAGACGGGACTTATTAGGTTTATGTATACGAATTTTGTTTTGAAAATACTTTTTAAAAATTATCTTTAGGGATTGTTTCAAATATCTATAAAACAGTACTTTCTTAACAATAATTCTTTAGATCTGATAATTATTATTGAGTCTAAAAAATTATTCTTGAATAAAATTATTATAGATATTTGAATAATTAATTCAAAAAATGTCAAGTTCTTTAAAAAGTGTTTTTAAACCTTTATGGTCTATATTATACATATGTGTTTGCATATACGTGTATATGTATTTACAAACTAGGAAAAAAGATAACATTGCATATTCGATTTATAAACCATTGATTAAATAGTAGCATGCTTGTGTAAAGAAAGAAAAGTGACGGTGGTATGACTGGAAAAATCCGCTACCTCTTTATAACATTTACAACATTTAAGCTACAGCGTAAATTGTTGTAAATGTTTTTTTTTAAGAATTAACACTGAAAATACGTGGCTGTTTCATCAAATCATCTTATCTTCTCTTGCTGTCAAGACGCTGCGCTGTATTATAAAGATGATCGTTTTGCAGGTGATATTGGCGGTATATGTGGCGTCTTCATTGGTTTTAGTTTCATCAGTATAGTGGAGCTTCTGTACTTCTTTATGCTCATGTTTAGCGATTTTCTCTGTAAAAAATCGGCCTTGCAAGAAGATAAAGATCGCAAAACTAAAATTCCATCAGTTCAAACTCAAACCACAGGGGCAATATATTGGAACGAATTGCAACCGCGATCCTGGCATTCGGCGAAATACGGCAAATTTTCTATTAACAGAGCCAGATATTGATTGACGGAGTTATTATGGAATTATTTAAGAAACTTTTCAATTGAAATAATTCCATTTTTGTCAGTTAATATTTGAAATTATTAAGAAATATCTTATATCTATCTATCTATCTATCTATCTGTCTATCTATCTACTGCGCATATATCTACGTTTTACGAACAAATGGAATATTGATTTAAAATGAAGCCTTAGGCAAAAATAATAAAGAAGATTGTCACTATTTATTTAATTACATAGCAATGCTAAACTAATTTTGAAAAAGATTTATTATTATCTAAGAATATAATCATGATAGAGTTAGTTAGTCAAATATTCACTTTTTCTATCGGAAAATAATTTCACAGTAGCTTTAATGACAGCCGGTTCAATATATATATATATTAACTTTTATGAAATAATACTGTATTAATTCTGTATTAACTCTATTTTGTTATCGTAAAAGATTGTTACAAGATGCAACAAGTAGTTTTTATTATTTTATTCTAAATTAATGACTATTTGGGTGATGTTTTCAGCTCTTTATTAAAGTAGATTGATTTTACATACCTTAGGTTACTTTACATACTATCCTAAAAAGTATCATAATACGATCTATGCAAAATTTTGGTTGCATTTCTGCATAATTAATATGCACGTGGAATTATCGAAAATCCATTAAAAGGTTCTTAAGCTTGATGCAAAATTTTAAGCTAGGTTTTATGTATTATGGTGCATTATAAACGCAAATTTTAACAGTTTGTGAATATAAGATCGATTTACTTTACGAAATTTTATGATCGATTATTATTATTTACAATTATTTTACACACACACACACACACACACACACACACACACACACACACACACAAAAGCATGTAATTTTGGTAATTCAAGTATTAGACATAATGTTTAGTTCCAAGTTTAACTTTATAGAATCATAGAGATAATTAATTACATAAATTGATGCAATTATTATGCATATCTTGTGAAAAACATTTGCATGCTGCAACTTCGAATCGAAGGCTGTTTCATAAAGATGATATTGCTGGATAATAAGACGTTATTAATGAGGGAAGTGCTAAATAATGAGATTGTAGTTGTTTACGAGAGAGATACGAAGCGGCTATAATACCTTCTCTGTAAGAGCATGAATAGAACGTGATAGAAACACGAAGCTGCATGGGAATTGTTATCTGCTCCGATGACACTTGCCGGAGACACGTAATTAATTTCTCAGCTTAATTACGGTTTTTAACACAGATATTTATGTGTATTTATGTATGTTCAAAATAAAGATTTACCTAATAACGCCATGTTTGTTGAATCAAATTTCATCTATTAATTAAAATGACTTTAATACGATACAAACGGATTACGATTGACTTTGCGAAAATTTAACTAAACCTTGCAATCAATATTAGCAGTTCGATATTACAGTAAATAGATTTGATTATTTGCAATTGCAGATGTTGCTTGTCAGGACTAGCTGCGAATGTAATTTCATAAGCATAAGGCTATTTTACGAGTATATGTATTTGAATACTTTGTTATTATATTATATTGCCTACAATCATATACAAGCAAAATGCTGAGAGTGTAATATTAAATATATATATAATATATATATATATATGTATATTTAATTCAAATATAAATTTTTTCTCTTTTCACATTTACAAAATGTTATAAATACCTTTCAACAAACACCTTCTTAGCAAACATTAAATTTTTATATTTGCCATTTTATAATTCTTGTCGAAAAAACAAAATTATTTACGATGTGACGGTATCGATGCAGAACGATTTGGTGCCACAATCCACATAAAAAAATAGACTTATTTGATTTTTGTGAAAAACTTTTTAATTGCAAATAATCATATACTTAATTCTTATGTAATTTAATTTTTATTTACATTAAGAGATACTTACTTATATACAATTTGAAAAATAAGAGAATTTAGGAAAAAACATAACATTCAATTTAAGTTGCTCTTATAGCGGGAAAAAAAACTTGATCAAAGAATCTTTGTGCAAATTTTGTCGACGTAAGTAATTCTGGATAAGCTTGTAGAAGTCGTGGCCAGTTGTGCCACAAACTTTCGTGAGACAGGTCTCTGGAAAGGAACAGGATTGAGGGAGACAAATATTATTAACGGACCATACTAAACATTCTGCGGAGCCGATATATTCGAGGAGAACACCAAATGACGATGATCAAAAGCGAAAGGGTAATGAAGGAAGAAAAATATGGCTATCATGGTTGCAGTACCGTAATAATCTTCCCTTGTATCGCCATCGACTATATGTATCCGGTACTGTCAAACCTCACAAGGAGTCAGATTCCACGTAGAAGAAGATTTATTAACGAAAGCGCTATACCGCGGAATAACGCTGATAAATTATCGATAAAAAAGGAGCAACATGCCTTGACACCGATGCTTTCCTGACAACCCGTTCATTCTTCTTTGGCCTCTATTATATTATAGGTTCTCTATTTTAGAATGATGTATGCGACTTGGTATGAAATATATTCAACCAATATCTTGACATGAAATATAATAAGTGTCACGTTTTCATTGTTATCTTATAACATCAAATATTATGCAAAATTAATATGCTTTATTAGCACAGGCAAGCAATTCAATTAGTAATATTATTGAAAGTGCTTTGTTATCAACTTTATGTGTATCTACAATACCGGATCCATATACATATTGTGTGTATGTGTGTGTATATATATATATACACATATTAATATATCACAATAATAAATGTTTATCTATCCTTATATCATATACAAATACTAATAAAATTTTATTTTTCAACAATTTTTCTTAATTTTAAATAAAGAAATTTTTTTATATGATTTTAAAAATAAAAAATTAACAATAACGACCAAGTATACATATACAGTACTCTTCCGTAATGCATAACATTGCGGAAGTCATATAACATGCCCATACATACAAAACAAAATGTATGATATTTTAAAACTTCGTACCAGATTTAAAATTTTGTGCAATTTGTTTCCATAAAATTAGATTCAGAGTAGTACATTACAAAAATTTCACTTTGCAGAGTAATATTTTACAATAAAATAAACGTATATTTATTTATAAAATAATAAAACCACTTTTATAAAATATTTGCAAAAGAAGAAAGAGTGAATTAACAATAAGAAAAGTTAATTTTTACATTTATTTGGAACAAGTTTAACATATATTTAATAAAATCTCTCATCATTAACTTTCTAAAATGTATGTATCTACATAAGATTTTAAAAATATAAAAGAATATAAAATATAAAATCTGTATTAGATTTTCTTCTTTTCTTCTTAATAAACATTATTTAATTTATATAATTTAACTAATCATGCAATCTTTTCATGTTTTAAACATTTTTACTATTTTAGAGATATTTTATTCTTAACGTTAAACAAAAAGAATATATACGTTATTATTATATATTTATGTACTTGAAAATTTTCTTGCAAGCTGTTTAAAATTAACCATTCGAGTAAAATTTAAATAAATAATTATTGAATACGTTATATGTTATATTTATTCTAAAAATTAATATCATATCAAGTTTAAACTCTTAATAGAACTTTATTAATAATGTTCGATTTGCGCAAAACGTAGAAAAAAGTGATTTTTTCAACCTTCTCTTTTATTTAATTTTCTTGTTTCTATAATATGTATCGTATACGTAACGTGTGAAAAGCTCAGTGTTTATTCCTGAAAATTCAAAATGTTTTCAATCTTTATAATCTGAAGAAATCTATTTTATGCTAGATCGGTCATCATTGACAGTTCAAGCTTGTCAACTTAAATGGATCATTGCTCGCTTCTAGACCTTGTGTTTATGGTATTTGCTACCTGAATGTCGCAAAGCGGAGTCTCGTAGTAGTCTTGACCAACGCAATTCGAACTTCCTCGCTTTGGGCATGTCGAGCAAATATCCGTTCTAGCAAACAAAGCGGTACGTGTTGTATACGTAACTAGAGATAACGATCCTGTATAGATATTCAGACAGGAGAGAATGCTTGACTTAGTTCTCATCTAAACGTATCCCTTTCTATTGAGGACAATGTTAAAGACGTTTATATAACATAAATATGATTTCTAACAAGAAATTTCATGATAATTGCTGCAGTAATGTTATTTTTAATAATAGCTACATTTTTACTTTAAATAATTATTTTTCTAATTTTTTATGTATTTTGTATCTTAAAGTTATTTAATTACATTTTTGCACAAAAAGTTTAGGTTTTGTTAAAGTATTAAAAAATTTAGATTAATATAGATCTAAAAATAATTTTATTGGATTATCAAAATAATTATGTATGATATACGTTTCAGTTGGTTGTTAGAATGTTTAAATTGTTTGCAGCATTATTTATCATGCTTGAATTTTCTACATAAATATTTTGATAGTTTAGTAATTTTTTAAATCTATAATAATATTTTTAAATTTATATATATATATATATTTACTTAAATTTTTAGATAGTTCAAAATTATTCTTTTTGTACAGACAAATGTTATTAACGTTATTATAAGTATTATTTACATTAAACTGTAATTTTGCGTAATTAACTAGTATTTATCATACAACGAAGTATATATACTTAATAAAATGTAATTTTAATGGATTAATAATTATTATTTGATAAACAATAATAAATAAGAAGAAAGCCAATAACGCGGTCAAAACTGGATATCACAATGCTTATTCTAATTGTGTGAATTTTATGTACTGCGTATGTAGTCCCCCCATAAATCGCGACGCTGACAGTTTTTCAGCATTGACGCATACATACTTACTATACGCAGTAATATCACTTAGTTAAATTGACAAGCAATCTAACAATTTGATGCTTATTATTTGCCTTAATATTTACAAATTTAGTCAAGTTTGTATCATTCAAACGGTCCTTGTATATATTTACATTTGCGTATGTGTAATTACATACTAATATATACATTTCTTTCTTCTTGCGAAATATAAATAATAA